CACCACAGATACAGTGGTAGATATCATGTATTCATTGCTCATCTACATTCTCAAAAGATTAAGACAGGCAGAGACAAGCTAACAGACCTCTCCAACAAGACTGGAGCCCTCCCCAACTCTCCAGCTTGTAGTAAGAGAGGTTTTGTGAAGAATGGCATGTACCCAGTGATGGGTTGGGCTTGTTTACCACTTTCACAGTTGCACCAATAGTCTGCTACTCCTGCCAGGAGGAGTGAGGCCAGAGCAAGCTGTGTGCATACTGGGTAGATGAGGGGCTGACCCAAACTTGTTCCCGCCAAGACTGGGCAGCACCAGAGTGGGACAATCTTCAAATTATTCAAATATGGGGGCACTGTATGAAAGTGAGCTCCCTCACCGTAGTGCCAGAATAACATCTACCCTGCAGGCATTAAACAGTCACTCTGAAAAACCTAGGCCCTGTGGACAAAAGGAGTTACCAACAGCCCCAGGGGTAAAGGTCACCAATTCAACCCAGGTTGCCTAGCATTTATAGATCTTTTGAGTATTGATTTTTTTATTATTTATTTTTGTGTGTAGGTGCCTGTGATAGCCAGAAGAGGGTGTCACATTCCCCTAAAGCTGAGTTACAGGCAATTGTGAACTGCCCAACATGGGTTCTGGAAACTGAATTCAGATCCTCTGAAAGAACAGCAAGTGCTCTTAACTGTTCTGTCATCCAGCCAGTCTCTATATTTAAAACAAAATATGTGTATGTGTGTCTGTGTGACTATATGCCATGTGTGTTCAGGTACCATCAAAAATGAGAAGAGGGTATTGGATCCACTGGAGCTCACGTTACAGGAAGCTCTAAGCTGCCTGATATGGGTACTGGGAAGCATCCTAGGGTGATCTGGAAAAGTGGTATTAACTGCTGAGCCATCTCATAGCTCTAGCCCCCCCCCAAAGTTACTAAGCACCATCTTGGCTATGGAGTCAAGGTGTAAGCTATGATGCTATAGAAAGTGTCTTAGTGCTACATAGTGTCTTAGATTGTGTTATAGAGACACCATGACCAACACAACTCTTATAAGGAAAGCATTTGCTTGAGGAGGGCTGACTTACAGTTCCAGAGACTCAGGCCATTATCATCATGGCAATGAGCATGGCGGCATGCAAGCAGATGCGGTGCTGAGGAATAACTGAGAGTCCTACATCTCGTAGGCAACAGGAAGTCAACTGTAACATTGGGCAGTATCTTGAGCTTTGGAAACCTCACAGCCCACACCCACAGTGACACACTTCCTCCAACAAGGCCATACCTACTCCAACAATGCCACACCTCCTAGTAGTACCACTGTGAGATTGTGGAGGCCCATTACATTCAAACCACCACAGATAGTAGCTGGACATGTGGCTTACCCTCTATACCTCAGTGTGATGCTGTGGTGTAGAAACAATCATATTCTCTATAGCAGTCATTTAAGGATTAAAATAAAACAGCCAACACCTGAAAAGGCTGAGCATAAAGGAAAAACTCCCAGTGGTGTCAGAAACTTCTACAGAGCTAATGCAGACTAATGAACACAGAGGACTCAGAGTCCCAGCCTGAACCACAAGAACCCAAGAATACAAGGCAGTTGATGCCAGGTGAATCCTCACAAGACGCAGGCCCTGCCTCGACTCTTGGGTCTTGGCTCTTACTTGCGTGCACAAGCACCGGTCTAAGCAGCAGGGCCCAAGTCAAGGAGCCTGAAGCTACTAGCTCACGGTCGTGTCAGCCTTGCCAGCTCCTGAGCCTGCCCCTGCCTTGTTCCACTCCCAGCTCAGGCCTGGACCTGCTCTAGTTGCTCTCCCTTACAGCTTGCCACAGGCATCCAAGGCCTGGCACCTTAGGGAAGTAAAAGCAGATGTCAGGGCACAGGCCGAGTACTGAGAAGGTAGTGGCACTTTTGGAGGGTGAGGGAGTAAGAGATGCAGACTGACTGAGACAGGGGAATGGCATCCATTTTCTCCTCCAGAGATATCCAGTGCACCCAGCCTGGCCCTGGGAGCCGGTTCCCTTAGGACATAGGCCACTCTTACAGATACCTGGTCTGTGGACAGAGCTCAAGATTTCCCCCCTTGTGTCCTTGTTCATTGTCTTCATGCTACATGCACCAGGTCCTGATGGACCAGCCCTCCAGGCCTCCAGGCCTCCTTATCTTCAGGAAATATACTGTGTTTAGGAATAGAACATGTGCCTAGTCTTATCTTTCAATAATTCAGGAAAAAATACTAATTAGTGCATGCACAGAGTACAAGGGATAGAAAAATATAGTGTTGATATAATAAAATATTTATATTCAGAGAACCTGGTTGAATTATTTGAGGACTCTACTACTCTTGCAATATTTTTCAAGGCATAAAGTCATAAGGAAATAATGTCTAGGCTAAAAACAACACAGCTCTCAAGTCCCAGAACCCTTGGCTCTTCATCTAGCTTTAAGGTCTTCTCCCTAAAACTCCTTGGAAGAGCCACTGAGACCATCCCCAAGCCTCATTCTCCCTCCACACCCCACTCCTTAGGATTCTGCCCTGAGGCCATGTGCTGTGTAAAGAGTAGCTTTCGGTCTGTGCCTTGCCTTGCATGGCTCCGTGTTATAGGCAGCCTGTTCTGTACAAACGCTAAGGAAAGGGAGAAGGCTGTGCATCTTGGCTGTGCAAGCAAATGCATACCACCCTCTGGACAACAAACAGGCTTGTATGTTATTATGCAAATAAAAGATTGCCACCAAGTTACTTTACCAAGTTAAGCTGGGAAAGTATGGATACACTATTGTGGAATAATCAGGCAGGATTTTCAGGGCAGAGAGAATGCTGGGAAGCAGGGTAGAGTCAGAAGAGTCACAAGCTAAATGGAAAAGAAGCAGGACATACAAGAGAGGATAAAACTATGAGCCTCAGGGCAGTACATAGATTAATAAAAATGAGTTAATTTAAGCCATAAGAGCTAATTAGTAATAAGCCTGAGATACCGGCTGAGCATTTATAATCAATAATAGGTCTTTGAGTGATTATTTGGGGAGTGGTTGGTAAAACAGAGATGATTGAGGTCCTGACCAAAAAAACCCACCTACAATACACAAATCTACCAAAACCATTTTTTAAAAAACCGCAGCCCATGAACTTTTGAAAGCACCGGACCAACAAGTGAGTCACATAAACAGAGGGACGCCTAACACTGGGACAGCAGCACCTACCAACCCTCACCAAAGTGGGCATATTCAATGGCTGCCCCTGCTTCTTCAGCAAGGTCTGTGAACTCTGGAGGCTCTGTAACCTTTTCTTGACCACTTGGGAACACACACACACACACACATACACATACACACACATATATACACATACACATACACACATACACACACACACACACACACACACACACACACACGCACGCACACACAATTTGTGATCTGAGAGTTAATATCATTAAGATGAGAACAAAAGAAACTGTGATTGCCAATGCCATGAACTCAGTGGACGGCAATTTCTTGGAATTCAACAATTATTGAAAACTTAAGCATGCCTGTTCATGTTTCTGACATTTGTTGCTGTGGCAACTCTTTCCCCCTTGCTTCGGTCGTTTAGGGACTTGGAGCACAGAGCCAGGCATGCCCCGGGTAGACCCATTTCTTCTTTGATCAGGATCCTAATTCTGTGGAAATAAAGGTAGCCCAAATGAGAGGGAACCAGCAAAGGCTTGCTCTGACAGATCAGCTCCTGTCACCTGAGATTGGGCAGATTAAAAAGGCAGATGGCAGTGGGGAGCCTCCTCCTGGAGGGCAGGGAAAGCATCTGAGGGACATGTGTGTGGCAAACCGGATGTGGGCAGTCTGTGTGATTGGTTCATGTTGCTGCTTACCTTTCTTCCATTGGTTGCAAACAGGAAGTTGCTGCACCTGTCTGTTTTTATCTAGACTCCCTTAGGGGGCAGTTGTTTGAGGCATCTTTTGGTTTCTTTGTTCTTATCACCCTGTAAAGGCTTGACTCTGCAGCAGCTGAGCTATCATTGCAGACAATGGGTGTGTCCCGGGTTGGGCACTGCACACCTGGGTCACAATTCTGTTTTAGATAAATGCTCTGGCCATTGCTTATTTTTTATATTCAGTTTCTTACATGCAAAGGCCAAAAGCTAACCCCCAGTAAATCCAAGTTCCTAACTCCAACCCAGGCTGCAAAAATCATGCCTGATTTCTCAAGTGCTATAACAGCCTTCTAAGTGGCCAGGGCTATGTTTTGCATGCTCAAAGTCATCATTAAGTAGCCAGCACCTGGAACAGTGCACCCTCAAAACCCTGGGTACCTCAGCACCATGATTCTTGGCCACACAGGCTGCCGCTGCTCCAGTATCTCGGATGAGCCAAGTAGCCAATGTTCCAGCCCTCCTAGAAAGGAAGGCAGGTCATTCTCTGCAAAAACTGTCCTTGACTGATAATTCACTTAAAAAGCCTGAAAAGCTTCTGGCACACCTGATAGGCCTACATATATCACAGAAATTAGGCACACAGACCGGATCTTTCCATGACCTCCCTCACATGATCCAGGCATGCCAGTCCTCATGGAAAGACTTCCGCCTTGTGGAGATTGATTCCATGATGCTTTAGACTCTCCCATGCCTGGTAGCCAACTGGAAAGTGAGTCAGGGTAAACACATTCTCCACAGACTTTGTAAGCCCAGAACAGCCTTCAAAACGCAGTTACAGGTGCAGTACTTGTTCCAGTGTTTGGAAGCAGAAAACCTTACGTTTCTTGATTCTGATACATCAAACTAGATCCAGCCCTGGGCACTCCCAGACCCCCAATCCCCGCAACCAGAGGTACTCAAGTTGGAAAGAAACTCATTCTCAGTTAGATCTTTAAGAAGGCCTCGCGGCCATCATCAGGCTTATCTTGATGCTGTGAACTCTTCCATAAGCAAGACCCACAGCCCCATAGCTCCCAGGGGTACACCTGTAGACATCTGACTCCTGCACCCACACATATACTCCATTTTAAAAGACATTTTGAAACAAGTTTAAATCGTGTAAGCAAACATGTACTAACAGTTTCTTTTCTAAATGGCACGAGGGTTGCAAGCAGATATAGCTGGCTCAGAGAAGTCCAAATAGCATGGATTTATGTGGGTTGACTTTCTAAGGCAGTGGGGAGGCCAACGAAGTCACCAAGTCCCATGCCAACCAACTGTTCCACATAGCAGACACAGTGCAGCATCAAGACATATCGGTTCCAGCGATCTGGCCCAGAAAGGTACATGTTGGACTTTTCTTCAGCCGGAGCATGGTCTCTGCCCTTGCTCTCTTTGCTCTTCTCCATCAGAGTCTTTCCAGGAAGGTGAGGGAGTGAAACACTGGAAATACAAAGACAGACAAGTTCAGACCATACACAAAAGCAACTTGATACACAGTGGGCTATAGCCAGTCCAGACGCTGTGAGGAACATCTCTAGCAACTCTTCCAAAAGGCCAAAGGAATCTGGTGCGGCATGTGTGTGTTTTCTGGTGCACTGTGGTAGCTCTGTGGTAGGCTCACGCTGTCACTGGATTTCAATGCAGTGTCTGAGATGGGCTGTGTTCTGAAAGCTCTGCCTTTGAGATGCCTCACTGCTGTCTATGCTTCCAAACACAGAGGTAGGGCAGCCCTGAAATGAGTAGTCTACCTCCAAAGCTTGCTCTACCAACCTGGAATCAAGGTTGGAGGAGTGAGGAAGGTTGTGATCACAGAGCCTGCAATCCTCAGCTCTCACAAGAGTTTTCAAAAGACAGTGAGTTAATGCTCCCCTCCCATGTATCTGTCACTGAAGCTCAGAGATGCTGCTGTGATATACGTTGTTCAGTGTCCTGGATCGAACCTAGGGCCTTACATGTGCCAGACAAGGCAATGGGTGGTGACCCCTTTGGGGATTCAACAACCTTTTCACTGGAGTCGCATATCAGATATCCTGCATATCAGATACTTACATTACGATTCATAACAGTAGCAAAATGACAGTTGTTGACTAGCAATAAAATAACGTCATGGTTGGGGGTCGCCACAACATGAGGAACTGTGTTAAAGGGTCACAGTATTGGGAAGGTTGGGAATCACTGCTCTAAGCATTTTCCCTCTCATTCTTGTGTATCTTATCAACCAGTCCAAATACCATTGCTGTTGTCCAATAGGAAATGAAAGTGTTCTTTGACTGACCTCTAACTCATACAGCTTCTAGGCCCCAGCCCCAAAGCCTGCCCCTCACTTCTCTTAGGTCACGAAGAAGAGAGCTAAGCACCAAGAACTAATGTCGTCTCCACATCTCCTTTTCTCACATCCCCCCCCCACACACACATGACCAGATGGAGTCACGGCCTCTAAGAATCTTCTGAAAACACTGCAAGACCCTCTCTGACCAGCTCATCAGTCTAATTCAGATCAAATTACAAGGAATCTGTAAGGGATCTCTGAGAAATGGTTAAAAATGAAAAACCAAATATAAATACAAAAGCAAATACAATCAAAGTGACATGATGTGTGAGACCAAAACAGGAACAATACACCTTGCAGGTTAAGAGTTCTGTTTGCAGTTAAGACAGTTAAAGTTGCCAGTTGTCCTATGTTAACTCCTTGCAAATTAAGGTTTTTATTCGTAATTAAGAAATTCCTATCCGCAGGGGGATGGTGGCGCATGTCTTTAATCCCAGCACTCAGGAGACAGAGGCAGAAGGATCTCTGTGAGTTTGAGACTAGCCTGGTTCACAAATCAAGTTCAAAGGCAGCCAGAGCTACACAGAGAAACCCTGTCTTGAAAAAAGAAGAAGGAGGAAGAGGAGGAGGGTGGGGGGAGTTCCTGTCTGTCCTGAGCAGGTTAAGGTTTCTGTTTGTAATTAAAGAAGTTCCTATTGTCCTGTGTTAGGCCCTTGCAAGTTAAGGTTTCTATTTGTAATTAAGACTAGTTCCTATTTCTTAGTTCTGATGTCTAGGGTAAACTGCTTGCACCCCCATTCACATGCTGTGTGTGTGTGTGTGTGTGCATATATATATATATATATATATATCCTTTCCTTTGTTCCTTCCCTTTTCATTGTATCCTTTTAACAAGGTACAAGAGCCAACTCTCTCACCCTGTGGAGAGCTTGTCTCTCCAATGAAAGGGACTTCAAGAGGCCAGCCGAGGCTGCTCTCCCAAATCCTGGCTTAGGATGAGACAGCCAGCTGGCAAGTTCCAGGTGCACCCCAAAATACAGCTTGCTTTAATTGGACAATCATGTATTTGGTCTTGTCTCCTCTTGATTGTCAGGTTTAACATGTATATGACACTATTTCCCATACAAGGTCACCTCTCTTCTTACCATAACAGTGGAGGGGGTTGGGAGTGCAAGCAATAATGAACTTACATAAGGAGCTCTTAGTACAAGAGGCAGAGAACAATCAAGTTGCTGGTTGGGTTTGCGCTCAGCCCCAGCAGCCTCAGCTCCAGGACTTCAGGCATACCAGTTTTCCGCTGTGACTCACAGTGTCCTTGCTGGTAGTAGGTAATGATGCCTGCATTGTCAGTGGTTTGACAGATAGAAGCAGAGAATTCATAGATAACACCCAGAGCTTTTGGTGTAGTCAATATATTCACTCGGTGCTTAACCATTTATGAAGATGAAAATGATGGAAAATGTGTTTCTTCATATTCCCACAAGAGCTCATCTCAGAAAATCACAGCCCCTAAACTCAGTTCACATAGTGTTGATGCTACACCAAGCATTATACAGAATCTAAAGGAGAATCTGCCTGATTTCTACCACCCACAAGCATAAAACCCTTCCAGGAAGGCCAGTCGGTGCAACCCTGAGGGCCCGTCACTAAACTCTTACTTCACTTGGAGTATACATTGGTCCTTTTAGATATAAAATGGGAACCTCACAAGAACATGAGAATAGCCTGCTTCACCAGGACCATAGTGATGTCCATGTGGATGAATCAATCACAAGGTTCCTCAGACCCTGGTCTCTGTAGATAATGTCACCTGACAGTACACAGGCTGGAGCAAGCCCAGGCCCCTGACCTCTGGTCATGTTGGAGCAGAGAAGCTTGGTGGTGACATTTTCCATGAAATCTCTTCTGGGTGTCTTAAAAGGAAACCATGGCAGCGGATCCACACAGGGGACAAGAGAATTGGATGCTTCAGAAAACGCACTGTTTTCTAGGATGTGCACAGTCCCAGAGGATGCCAAGCACTTCTAGGACAGCACTGTGCTGCCGCTAGTGTGTGTCTCTTGTGGTTTTTAAGATCTTCTATGCGTCTGTCCCCTCTGCAGCTCTTCCAAATACTGTGAAGCCTTGTCTGCTCGTGACACCTCTCAGGTGGCAAGCTGGCTTTGCTGACAAAGGACAGTGTTGCCTATCTCTGGAGGAGCCTCTTCCTTCATATCCTGCCATTGTAGAGAAGTACACTTCTAGATCCAGCCCACTCCAGGATCTTCCCATATGGAAATGCCAGGAATCTGTCCATGTGTGTCTCCTGTAAATCTCAAGACCTATAAGGCCATGTCTTGAATCCCAAGGATGCCAGCAGCTGGATCCCACCTGTTAGGCCTCGGGCTGCCCAAATATGCAGAAATGAATTCCACCTGGACTGCAGGAGGATATCTGGGTTAGAGAAAAGCCAGTATTCCACAGGAACTTGTGGAACTGGTTCCCATCTACCAAAAGGAATTCATTTTCCTAACCTCAGGCATAAGGGACAGGTGGCTCCTTGGACATGCACCTGTGGCTGTGTACCAAAGCCCAGGCCAGCCTCCAGGCTCACAAGTGCTACTCACAATCCCTAGTCACAAGTACTCATTAAGCACTTCAGAGCCTCCACACCAGTCTCCTGTGCTCAGCCCTTGTCCCGCCCCCACCCCTCCAGCTACTCATTTTCCTTATAACCCTCTCTTCTCTACTATTCTAGCATTTACTCTCTTGCTACTCTTTGCTCTCTGTCTCCTGCTATCTCACTATCTCCCCTTCCCAGGCCCTGGCCATGTCGTGTCTGTCAGCCACGTTCAGTCTATTTCTTTCTCTCTCTCTCTCTCTTCTGGACTCTTGCAGATGCCTCTAGCTGTTCTTTCTTTTATATCTACAAAAAATAAAAAAGCACAAACCGTAACCATATGTCATGGAGCAATCATGTCAGCAGTTTCTTTACCACTCCTCCTCACATACACTACCCTCCCCACTTTGGCTCTGAAGAAGGAGAAAAAAAAACACACTCTAAACAGAGAAAGACTGGAAAGACCATGTGGGTGGTCTAGGAGCCATACAGAACAGACGTGTGTGTGTGTGTGTGTGTGTGTGTGTGTGTGTGTGTGTAATACATATCTATTCCACATATATCATATATACATATATAATACCTTATTAACTCTTTGAGAATTTCATACAAGCGCCCAATATATTTGATCCTATTCAACACCTGCTCCCCCAGTACTCCATTTTAGATCCACCTCATGCCTCTTCTTCCTCCCAACTTTATGGTCTCTCTCTCTTTTCTATCCCACAGAGGCCAATCCGTGCTGCCACATACTTGCTGGTATGAGGCCATCTGCTAGAGCTTGGTTAACCTTCCATGGGCCACATCATTAAGGAAAACAGACTCTCCCATCCTCGGAGGCCATGGTCTACCAATAGCCCCTCAGCAAGGGATGGGGACCCATGACACCTACCCAATCCATGCTGAAATGCTGACTGACTTGATCTCACCTAGGTCTTGTGCAGGTCACCATTGCTGCTGGGAGTTCATGAGTGCAGAGGTCCTGTCATGTCCAGAAGAATATATATATTCTAGAACTACCTGGGCAATTAATGAAGGATGCCTGGAAGGGTGTTTGTGATGGTATTTCTAGAGATAGATCTTGAGAGTTCTGACCTCCTTGATTGGCTAAGCCCTAGATAGAATCATAACACAATGATCTTACTGGGAGCCAGTGAAACACAGCAGGTGGAATCTAATTGGAGGCAGGTAGGAAAGCCTCTGGGGGAATGTCCTTGGCATCATATCTGACCCTGGTTCTTCTTTCTTTGCCTGCTTCATGTCCAGCATGAGGTGAAGCATTCCCACCGTCAAGGTATCTTCACCAAACAGACAGACTGAGCACCTGAGGCCTGGGCCCTCTGAGGGTTGCATCTGGAGCAAACCCTTGCTCATTTAAACTGTTTCTGTGAGACATTTGGACATGGCAATGACAAATCCACTCACCATAGAAGCCTGAAGACTAGGTCTTCAGACATCTGACATAAGTTCCAGCTTGCTATGTCTCCCAGGCCTTAGACACTCCATGAGACACAATGAGCCCTGTAGAAGACTGAAACCACACCTGCCATTTTCCATAAAGTCCAGTCTTGTTCCAGCTATCCATCCTCACCATAGTCTAAATCACCCTCATCCTAACTAAAGCAGGTGATTACCCCTCCCCTCAATATCTGTAGTATCTCAGTTGGGTCAGCTCGCTTCTCTGCAATTAGTAAGAGAAATTAATAATGAAAGGCAGACTCTCTCTCCTCCATTTTCCTACAGGATGTCCTTTAGAACACTGGGAGTTCTAAGTCCTTTCAGCTGCTTCCTTGGAATAAGCACAAATCATTCTAGAATTTAAAGGAGCCACCTACGAGCTTTATGAGCCAGACCTGTCTTTCATCCCTCTGAGATACAGACTTTTAGGAGATAGCAGGGTAGCTCTCGGTTCCTGTGGGAGCTGGGACCTGAGGTCAGCACCCAACTATTGCCATACTACCCCACCCCATCATGCAGACAGGCATTTACCTTGCCTTTGTATGAGATCAATTAACTAACACCATCAGTGGTCCAACTATCAGATAAACTGTGAAGGGGACCATGTATCTGCTGTGGGATGCTCTTTCTGTATGCTGTGAACATGTGCTGCTCTCACTGGTTGATAAGTAAAACTGCTTTGGCCTATAGCAAGGCAGGCTAGAGCCAGGTGGGAAATCCAAGCAGAGATCCAGGAGAAGAAGGGCGAGTCTGAGAGATGACAGCCAGCCACCGAAGAAGCAAGACATGTTAAAAAAATGAGGTAACAAGCCAAGAACCACGTGGGAAAGCATGAATTAAAAATATGGGTTAATTGAAATGTAAGAGCTACCTAATAATAAACCTGAGCCATTGGCCAAGAATTTAGAAGTAATATTAAGCCTCTGAGTGGTTATTCGGGAACTGGTGGGCCGGAGATAAACCTCTGATTACACATGTTATTAACAGTACTGCCTTGTCCCTTTACTGTTTGTTTATCTCATGTCCATTTGGCTGTATAAAAGGATGAGACTTCTGTCTGAAATCTCTTAGCAGATTGCCATGACTGCATATCACATTCTGGTTTAATGCTGAATAAATGGTGTTGATAAAATGGTTTTCTTCTTTTCGTACTTTTGTAGAAAGGTTTTCTGGCTTGGAAAAATTTGTATTTTACTGTGTTTTCTAAATAGGATAAGCACCAACTTCCTCTTTTCCCAGAAGCATAGGGGCCTCCTGGGCCACAGGTTCCTTGGTTAAAATATATGTGTCCCCTCCAAAACTCTTGTGTCAAGCCTTGGTCATCAGCCTGTACCTCAAGCTGGTGTGTAGTGAAACCATTAGGAGGTGGGGCTTAGGGAAAGGAAGCTAATTTGCCATGGGAGTGGCCTTCCAAGGACTATTAGAACACTGGCTTCCCTTTCCTGTCCAATTGGTGCCCTGAGGTAAACCAGTCTTTTATTCCATGCTTCACCACCATGGTACACCGCACTGCCCACAGGCTCAAAACAACCTAGGACGTATGAACAACAAAAAAAAAATCCAAAGCTTTTTTGTCCTTTAAGATTATTATCTCTGGTGTTTGGTCCCAGTGTAAGAAAGCTGGCAAACACACTGGCACTACTAGGGGGTACTTGAAGCTGACAGTTGAGGGACTCCTGAGGGTCACTACAGTCTTCCTACCCTGATTAGCAGCCCCTGGACATGAGGGCTGATGCCTAGGGAGAGCAAGGTTATGTTTTCGAGTTTCCATCCTGGCCCTGTGCATTACGTGGGTGATCCCCTAAGTGCTGAATCCTCATCTCGACATTACATGTGAATTAACCCAAGATTACTCAGAGAAAGAGGATGGCCCCAGGGAGTCAGGACTTGAAGGGTGACGGGGAGCCCACTGAGGGACAGGACTACAGAGCCTCCAAGGAGCTTGGCGATTTTTCTTCTGAGACGTTTTCTTTCCCATGTGGCTTATTGAAAACCCTTTTCAGCATGTTGCTAGCTCCTGGCTTCTGTAAGGAGGCGCTGATGTGCTTCCTCAATACAGCTTCTCAAAGTTGATTCCCAGAGGCCCACAGCAGACTGCAGGACTACAGCTGTTACAGCTGGGCTGTTACATCTGGAAACTAGCTGAGGCAGAGCTGGGAGGGCCCTGTGACCTGACATGAAGCCACAAGCTAAACATGATTGCCTTCCCAGAGCCAATTTATGCAGTTCAGCTGTTCACTTGAAGCATGCTACAGAAAGAAAATAAACCAGGATTGCACAATGCAGCGGAGTCGAGATTTCACCCTGGCACCTGAGTTAGCCTAGGAGTGGACAGATGTGTTCATGTTTCAACCTCGGGGCTGTGTCCTGCCTTGCCCTCCATGCCCCACTCTCTGAAGGGCAAGTAATGGAAACCCTGCCCATTAGCTACAAGCCCACCTTTGAGGCAGGCAGGGCATGGATGCCCTCCCACTGTTATGGGCAAGATTCAAAGTGACTCAGTGATGAGCCTGGAAATTTCCATTGCACATGTGTACACATGCTCACACCACCCTAGCTAGGCCAGGCTGGCTAGTTTTGCCCTTTGCACTCTTCAGGCTCTTCTTTGACTCTGGGTAGGTCAGGCAAGAGATGGGAATGTGAGAGATTTTTAAAAGCGGTTTCACCCAGACGTCCCTGGACCTGGTACTCACTGAAAGTGAGTTGTACTCTTCTTGTCTCTTTTGGAAAACCTCCCATTATTGTCACCTCTAGCTATGGTCCCTTTAATTTCACCTCTCCTTAGGCAAAAGACTCTCCTGCCATCAGCTGGGTGACTGACTACACTCTTGTCACAAGAGTGACAGGTCCAGAGTCTAGCTAGGTGACACACCAGCAACCAGTCAGTCCCTGCATCAGGATGTACTCTTGGGTCAGCTTTCTTGGTGTAAATATTGTAAACCCAACACTCAGGAGATGAAGGCAAGATGACTAGAAATTTAAGGTGATCCTTGGCTATCTGGTGAGTTTGAGTTTGATACTAGTCTGAGCGACTTACGACCCTGTCTTGGAGAGGGAGTGGGGGGATTGATTCTCGGATCTTGCAACAGGCTCTTAACTACCCTGACAAACTACCTTCTCCCTTCCAGGACTGTTTGTAGTAAGGAGTGGATGCAGCCAAGTGCACAGTGTCTCCTGCTGTTGTTGAATATCCATGACCCCACAAGTGCATTCTGTTCGTGTGATAAGGTCCCTGGGTCTCAGCCAAGCCCATCCCCTCCTACAGACACCCTTGGCTAATTCTACTGTGCAATTGCTACAGTGAGGCACTCTCTTCAGGCCCACAAGGGGTGGGACACTGGAAACTCACTGAGGCTTTTGTGGGGAAGTTTGGAAAAAGAACCAGAGAGCAGGGAATTGGGTACTTCACAGATACCATTTCATTGGCTAGGTCGCCATTTCCTGTGCTTTGTAGCCATTTTGAAAGAGTGGAGACTGAGGTACAGGGGAGCTGGCCTGACAGAGGCCCTGACACCCACACGTGACACAGCCTACACACTGTCTGCTTGCCAGTGTGTGGGATAGGAGCTCGGCAGGCACTTGAGTGGATGAGAGCCACCGAATGTGCAGAAGGGAAGGCGGGAGGCATTCCTGGTTAGTGTTGAAAGATGCCTTGTTTGCACACAGGAATTTCCCAACTGCGGAGTGCCTGTGAAGAAGCCTGCCAGAACTCCTCTGCCTGCTTGGAAAAACAGTGTGCAGTTGACTCTGCGAAACAGAAACATGTTATGAAATGCAGATAACAGAGCCCAGGTGGCCACCATTAATTCCCAGCTCCAGGGGAGAGGTTGTGCCAGGGGTCCTGGGAAACACAGCCTGAGGCAGACAGCTGGCTCAGAGGCCCCTGAATTCCTCTGACTCTGAGATAAGTTCACAGACCCTACCCGAGCAGGGAGTTCCCAGAGCAAAGGCTGCCTCCCCCGGAGAGGCTGTGAGTGCAGGGCTCGGCCTGAAGAGGCAGCGGGACACAGTGCTCTGGAGGAACCCGGCCCATCTTCCACTTCATGTCATCCACAACTGGAGTCCTCGTTTGCCAAGGGCATAGCTGGGCAGCGCAGCAGGATGGGGGGAACCTCAAGAATGGCGGGTCAGATGGGCCTTCAGTGCCTGGAGGCACACGAAGTTGATCAGCCCACGGGCTTAAGGAAAGGAAAGACGGGTCTCTAGCTGTACCAAGCCTTTGGGTTTCACAGAGGGAGTGATGACACAGAAACCCTGGGCAGCATGAGATGTTAGTCCCAGGCTGTGTGCCTCCTGTTGTCAAAAGAGAGGCTAGGTGAGATGACCTTAGCGGTGACATTGGAAGCCTGCTGAAGGCCCTGAGAGCCAGGCTCCAACCCACCTGCCTGCCTGCCTTGATCAGGCCCTGTTCTGCCTCTGACATGGCCTACACTGACAGCAAATGATTCTTGAGTAGTCTGGTGACTCCTCCCTGTCCTTCCCCAGCAGCCACACCCCTGGAAACCGTCTCTCCACAGAACACCCTGCTTGATGGGAGTCCACCCTTACGGAGATAGCAAGCCTTGGAGTCCTCCTTTTGAGGCAGGTAGAAGAGGAAAACTATCCTGTGCAGTAAAAGGACCCTGGTTATCAAGCCAATGCCAATTCCTATTTGCTTGGCCATCTTTCCTTGGCCTACCTGAGGAAGTTGAGCTTTAAAGAGTGAGTAGTTTGGTGGATGTGGGGGCTGCTGGTCTAGGCAGAAAGAACAGCACAGTGTGCGTCTGGACTCTCTGATACGCGATTGTTCCTTCTACAAGATTATAGCCTGGGCATATCATCAAGGTATGAAGGCCAACCTCCAGGCCCTGATATTCCTGAGAGGTGTGAGGGTATCTCAGAGGTGGGGTCCAGCGGAGAAAATGACTCTCGCAGGACACCAATTTATGCAGCCGTGAATGCAAGTTATTTTACTAGGAAGGTTTTCTTCTTGAGCTCTCTGACTTCCTTTCTAGTCATCAGATCTCCCCCTTCCTGCATGCATGCATACATCATGCATACATTGATCATTTTGGCATGCAATCAAAAAGTCCTCAATGGAGCTGAGCAGAGGCCAGCACCAGGCTCCTGAATCTTTATACTTGTGAGCTGAGTGAACCCCTATTCTTTATAAAGAACCCAACTTCAGGTACTCAGTTATAGAAACAAAAAATGAGTTATACAATACCCAATTTACTTGCTATAAATTCTAGATGTTCCTGGTTTTCTCTTCATAGTCAGTCATAATGAATACATTTACTATTTGGTTGATTCTCTAGATCTA